TATATATATATATATATATATATATATATATATATATATATATATATATATATATATGGCGATGTCGTACCAATGAAACCAAGCTGACAGAAATCAAGAACAAACCAATTCTCCTTGGTACCGATCTTCTGCAACGCGAAGGACTTCATAGTAGTTATGAAGTTCTTCTTGGCCAAGATGTCGTCCTCCAGTTGCACGTAGAACGTACCTTTCGTCTGGGCATACGACATCAGGAAGGCAAAGTCCAAATTTTGCTTTGAACGCCAAACAACGCGTTGATGATCATCGCCCAGTGTATCGCGCAATCTTGATAAATCCGGATAGTAGGATGATGACGGTGATATCACATCGATTACGCCAGCTTCGCATTCACTCGGAAATCTAAAAAAGATAATAAAAGTTATTATCGTTATTAAGTTATTATCGAAAAATTATATATGTTGTAATAGAAAATTATAATGTAAAAATAATTATAATATAATTATAATACAGAAGATAGGGAACTTACTGAACTTCAATTTGCTTCGCAACGTACGTTACATAGTCCATATCTGTCTGAAAAGAAAAAGAAACTTACTCATTGGTTCAGAGCTTCAAGGGTTAAGGTTTCTGGTTACTCAATTGCGATTATTTTAATTTATGATGTCAGAGAAGCTAGGAAACGCATGCCCAAAATTCCTAGAAAGTATATCGAGATAAAATGATACATCCAAAAAATTAACATGACAAAATAAGAATGTAGATTAAAAAGGAAGATTGCATATCACGTGAATTTTATGGTTATTTATAGGTTGTTAGAGCAAAAGGAAAGTGTTTGAAATATTTTAGAGGTGTGCTTAATCGATTGCGTCATTTTATTGAATATATTTTTTCATTTCGATATACTTTGCAGGAATTTTGGGCGTGTATTTCCTCATTTCTGACGTCCATAATCAAGAGTTTCGCGGTGAGTAGCCAGACGTCTTGATGAGTCTTTCGTAATTCCACTCACTTCAGCCACTAGGACTATAATCAACGTGTCAGCTATCTCTGCAGCGTTCATGCGGTCCAGCAGGTTCTTCAGGGTTGCCATTAGATAAGACTGAACCTCGCGCTTCACTGTTGGCACCCCCAGCACCATGCTCACACCCGATTTACCCTTGCTCTGCACGAACGCCGGGCGCAGACTGTTCGGGTCGTTGAGGAAGTGCGGCAGGAAGTTGTATATCGAAGGCAGCTTGATACTGGTAATGTTGGAGGTGCCATTGTTGATGAGCAGTTGCAGATCCGGCAGAATGTGGTTACTCTCGATCAGCTGCAGCAGCTGATGCGACAGCAGGTTGATCTCCTCCTGGCTGCCGATGTACTTGGCGTGCAGATGCTCCAGCTTGGCCTGCAGCTCGGCGATATTGTTCTGCAGCAAGGTCTCCTCCCTCATGTCCGACGGCGCCAGCAAGTTCAGGATCGCGAACGGCACCAGAACCAACGACAGTACGATCAGACATCGTTTCCGTACCGGAGTGAAGTGCGGTGTCATCTTCCTCCTCTTTGCCTCTACCAGTTCTACATGATTGCATTGACAGTCTTAGAAGGTAGGAACGGAAATATCCTCTGGCAGCTGTGGTCATTTATCGACCAGAAACACCTGTGACAGAAAAGTAAGAATAATTATCAGTTATTGTCATTTGTGCATGATAAATGATAAATACATTTGATTAAATGATAAATGATAAATAAATTTGATTTAAGATAAATGTGTTATCTGAAAACTTGCAAACAAATATCTTGTGCTGAAATAATATGAGATTCTCTCATTTGTAATTATTTTTTTAATAATTTCAATAATACACACACACACACAGAAAGAGGATTATAATATATCAGATATAATATATCAGAATCATCTAATATATTAAAATATTTCTTTTATACTTAATATCAGCCGTTTTGCTATAGAAATCAAGTTTTCCTTAAATATCAGACATGAAACAATTACCATGTACCGGTTAAGTTATTTAATGTTAGATTCTAAAATATTTTTGTTGTTTTCTATGTTAGAGGAAAATGTATAAGGAATAATATATTTTTATGTGGTATGGAAAAATAAGAATAATTATCGGTTATTGTTATTTGTGCGTAAATGATAAATGCATTTTTTGTAAGATAAATGTGTCATCTGCAAAACTTGCAAACAAATATCTTGTGCTGAAATAATATGAGATTCTTTCATTTGTAGTTATTTTTTTAATAATTTCAATAAAATAGTACATTAATAATAGTACATAATAGTATATTCTTTTGTGTGTGTGTGTGTGTGTGTGTATATATATATATATATATATATATATATATATATATATATGTATGTGCATGTGTGTGTGTGTGTATGTACACTCAGTTGCATTGATGTCATACCATTTTCCAGATCAATAGTCACTAAAAAGTTTTGACCAGCCGTGTCCGTTTCTAGCTGATCATTTTTCATGATTGTTGATTCAAGCGGGAATGTGTCAAAATAGAAGTGATATTTTGACAGCTTAACGTTTCATACATACATATTTTTATCAGAAGTTTATCTGCTCACTTGTAACACGCAATCAGTAGAAGAAGAGTAAGAATGTTAAAAAAGATAAATGATTATGCGTGAGCGGATAACCTTCTGATAAAAACACATATGTATGAAACATCAAGCTGTCAAAATGTTACTTCTATTTTGACACATTCCCGCTTGCCGGATGAATCAACAGTCATGAAAAATGATCAGCTAGAAATGGACACGGCTGGTCAAAACATTTTAGTGACTATTAATCTGGGGAATATAGCACCAACGCAACTGAGTGTACATAATAATTGTGTATCATGCATGATATATAAACTTTAAATATTATGGATTGTGTAATAGATTTACCAAGTTGTGGCAGTGTAATTATCAGTGATAATTAATTTCTGATACTTACATTGCAATTTCTTCTGCTATTTGTACTCAAGAACAGTAGTAAGTCCAACCAACCTGAAAGAAGTCGTATGTAATTTACATTCTTTGCAAGAATCAGAAAGGACACCCTAAAGATTAAACATAAACAAAGGAAAAGCATTAATGATTTCTTGCTAAAATATGTAGTGAGACAAATATATCTATACCAAGAGTTTATAATATCTCAAAGCGATATGATTCAGTATTATCTTCAGAATTAATATATCTTTATTTGAGCTTTTTAACATTTCTGCAACAGTGTGTCAGGAACTGCATAAAATTCCTGACTCTCATACCCGCAGCCAGAATAAAAGTTTTTTACTTAATAACTTGATTGTAGAAAAGACACTTTTCTAAACTGATGGTTTTGAGGAAAAAATATACACTGATAGTTTATTGCACGTTGATAAAAACTTTTATTTATTTATTTACCGGTTCACACACATCTTCCACGGTAACGTCTTATCAAATCAGGAAAGTGCGTCGCGATAACATTATAACGTCCCGTCGTCGCACGCGAACTACGTTCTTCCTATTCCGACGACAAAGGCTCGGCGAATGCACGTTACGCAAAGTGTGGCTATTTGTTCTATACACAAACTTCGCAGGGAAGCGGTAGCGCTCGTTGCGTACCTGACATAACCTGCGCGTCCAGGCGACAGCGTGTCGAGGTCACTGTGTATAGAATATACCAGGTGCCCACAAAATATACGGAAGGATAATGGGTTTCTTTTTTGAAGGAGTAGAGAGACTCGAGGGTCTGAAAGACCAGAAATTACTAGAAAGTCAGAAAAATATTAAAAATATGAAATTATAAGAGAAATCAAGAAAAATATAAGTTTTATATAAGATAATATGCACTTAATCGATTTATTATAAATCATAATAGTTCATATATCGACATAATAGTTCATATATCGAGGTAATGTCAATCGATCATTGCACGATTTTTCAATAGGAAATGTGTGATGAGTGTATCTCTAAAAATACAATATTTGTAATACCATGAATTATCTTGATTACCTCAAGATGACATATGGGCTGTGTTGTTTTATTTGCAACAGATGCAACCGATGTCATTCTATCCTTGTTTAAAATTCGGTAAAATTGAAGTATAACATGACATCAGTTGCATCTGTGTGAATAAAAGAACGCAGCCATGTTGTCGAAAGTGCGCTCAATAATGCAAAACAAATTAGTAGGTCGACAGCCATATATTTACGGCTTCGTGTGTCAGCTTGATATATTTCTCGATGCATTGAAAAATCTGCCATGATGTAAAATTATTCAGAGACTGTATTGCCAACTGAAGTTATCTTATCGATGTAAATTCCGTCTCTCATTGTACCGACAAAAGGTAACACTAAACAGGACGTACCGCAGATTTCACGATTACGTCGTCATCTACTACGTGGATTGTTTATATATTTTTTTACGTGATAATAATATGATTATAATGAAAATTTAATTATTACTGCATTAATGTAGTTTCCTAAAAACGAGTATATGTATACTTTTGTTCTTTCAACCGAATGAAATTAGATTACAGGATACTATGTTATCGATAATTTATTGAGTTCTGTCAGTATTCTGACTCATCCGCCTACTTCGCAACAATCTCTATTACGATTGTATTGTCTACACGAGGTGCATATTCGACGACCAAACCGAGCGATTATAATCTACGGTCATTTATGATGTATTCGTGATGAAATTGCAGATGACAGATCAGTGAACGATCGGTGAACATTTCGCGATATCTTGAACGACACTCTCTCCCGAGAAGCTCTCCCGCCAATCGACAACAAAGCAAGCAAGTACACAGGCGCTTGATGATTGTGTTTTGTCATTGCTACGTCCGCGTAAATTGAGTGCTGCGATTATCTTTGATAGTGATAATAAGGCTCGTTGCTATCTCAGTGGCAGACTAAATGGTGAAGATGACACCGCTCGACGAGGGAAGGATCAGGCAGGGTTTGGCCAGGGTATGCAGAATAGGAATTTAATTATCATTAATAGAGTTTGACAGTGGTTACTCTCTACTAACCATTACAATGATCCTTTAACGCAAGAAGATATGTGTGTGTGTGTGTATAAAATATATATGAAGATTTATCTTTCAGTATCAGAATCCTGATATAACCAGGAAGCATGTAGTGAGTGTTCTGAATCTTTACAAAGGCTTGCAATATGAGATTGAACCTTTTGGTAAGTAAAATTGTAACGACAATGAATTGATTATAAAACAATACTTAATTGTTTATGTTTTATCATTAAATCAATTTTGTTCAATACCAGTTTTCAATGATGGTTCCCGTAAAGAACTGATTAACTTACAAGGAACAATACCTGTTGCTTATAAAGGTAATTTCATTGAGGATAATGATATAGTATAATCCATTGGATTCACTTGTTTATATATATTTTATGTAAAATAGGTGCCTATTACAACATTCCAATATGCATATGGTTAATGGACACACATCCCAATAATGCACCCATGTGCTATGTTAAACCAACTGCAGATATGAACATCAAAGTCAGTATGTATGTGGATCACAATGGAAAAATCTATTTACCATATCTTCATGATTGGGTACCTGTGAGTAGATTCATCTTTATTACTGTTAAGACTGTTAAGAATACACAATCATTTAATACAAAGCACAATTCGAGGATCATACTGAGTTAATAATTCTTTCAAATAGTAGTTTTCCAGTTCTCGAATTATAGTTGTTTCTTCTCTTTCACAGCATAATTCTGATCTGCTTGCTTTAATTCAAGTGATGATCGTTACTTTTGGAGAACAACCTCCAGTTTATGCCAAGTCAAAGGTAGAGATACAGTCTACTTCTACACCATATCCTGTTCAACGTAAGCAAGCTTTATTTATAGAGTTTAATTCCATATTGTCAATATCAGTCATTTTGATCTACACTTTAATTAACAATTTAATAAAAAAAGTGTTATTACTTTATTTTCTTTCTATAAAAAAATTATTAAAGATATTAATAAATAGGTTACAGTAAAAAATAATTAAAAGAATCAAAATGACTCCACTTTAGCACAATAACAGACTAGCTAAATACAAAAAAATGTCATTCTACTTCTGAGAAAAAAGTTAATTTACTTTTTTTCTTTTAAGTGATCGTTATTTTCGACAAAGAATATTTTCTTGGTATTAGTCTTAAAATACAATCACAAACTTTAGAAAGACTTATTACTATATACTTCAAAGAACAATTTATATTTTCTTTATTATAGAATATTGTAAAACTTTATAGAAAAATTTAACTCTAGTAAGTAAACCAAATTTTTTTGTTTTAATTTTATATCCTTTATTGAAAATGCTAAACTTATTAGGATTCAGAATTTAGACAGATTCAGTATTTTGACAAAATTTGATATTTATGATTAAGCATTAAGTTATGATAAATTTGTAAATATGTAAATTTATGAAATATTTGTAGCAAGTAACATTTATTTGAATACAATATATATTTTTCTGTGTATACTATTACTGGCATTGGAAATCTAAAATTGTAAAAGAAAAAGTATTTGATTTTATATGCAGTATTTTATATAACATAATGTTTTTAATCTTACAGCATTCATGCCTGTGCCTAGTGGCGGGAACGTGTCTGGCTCTGGCTTTCCGCCGTACCCAGCGAATTCTCAGTACTCTGGCGGCAGCAATGTGTATCCGCCGTATCCAGCTACCGCGTCATCGGGATTCCCCTATCCAGGTTCCTATAGTCCTTACGCAGGAAGCACTCCCGGTTACCCGACGCAAGGTTACACTGGATCGTATCCACCGTACCCGCCATCCACGCAACCGGTATCATAGTTATATATCTTAGTCTACGTATCGATAGTTAAGAACAAGCTGATACGTGCAAAATTGGTAATTCAGGAAAAAAACAAAAATCTGTTTTTAAAATTTACTTTTCTCTAAAGAACCGCACGAATCTTTTTCTGTATTTTTTAATTGATAAATCAGTACTGAATATTCTTTTTCAAGTCACCGACAGTACAACCTGGTTCCGGTAGCTCTGGCACGATCACAGAGGAACATATAAGAGCATCTCTGTTGTCTGCGGTGGAGGATAAACTTCGACGCCGTTTAAAGGAGCAGTTCTCGCAGCTACAAGCTGAGCTGGAAACACTACGACGAACGCAGCAAGAGTTGACGAGTGGCTCGTCACATCTCACCGATTTGTTCGAGAAGCTTAAAAGGGAGAAGCAGGAACTGGAGAAGAATGTGAATATCCTGCAGGACAAAGAGGCAGAGTTGGAGAAGGAGATCGCCAAGTTATCTGATAATCAGTCGATAGACGTCGACGAAGCTGTTACTACCATAGCGCCATTGTATAAACAGTGAGTATATGAATATAATGTTTACGACGACAAGGTAAATATATACTTAAGGCTTTTGGGATGAGAAGAGTTATTCACCGCGGAACTCGATTGATAACATCATACGGAATAATATATGATAAAAATTCTTGCAAAATATGTTGAAATAAAAATATACTCATAAAAAGACATAATCGATTAAGCATATCTATAAATAGTGTGAATGCTTTTCTTCTGTCTAACAATCGATAAATTATCGAAAATAATGTTATCTTTTTAACGAAGAAAAAAACGAGGAAATGCATGCTCAAAATTCCTGCAAAGAACTCGAAATAAAAATATATATCTTAAAAGTCATACACTTGTAATCGATGAAGCATACCTTTAAGATACTCTAAAATACTCTACAATATTTTCCTTTTGCTCTAACAATAAATGATTATAAAATGAACGTGATAACTTTTATTTTTAACTAATATTTTCTCATTATTTTGTCACGTTAATTGTACAGTAACTTATTGATTGTTAGAGCAAAAGGAAAATGTTTAGAATATATTAAAGGTATGCAAGCTTAATCGATTGCAAGTTTGTGATATTTAGGATATCCTTTTACTTCGACGTATATTGCAGGAATTTTTAGCATGCATTTCCTTGATCTTCTGACGTCATAAATCAAGATAGTCGCGATGAAAAGCCAAGAGCTTTAAATAATTATTTATATGTAATATACAACAACTTGATATATAGTTCTGATTAAGGATTGAAGTAATAAATATATTTGATTTTAATGTACTCCCTATTTTACTCCCTATCTTCAGGATGTTAAACGCTTTCGCTGAAGAAGCTGCCACGGAGGATGCTATATACTATCTCGCTGAGGGACTTCGGTCTGGTATTATAGATCTGGACGCGTTTCTGAAGCAAGTCCGACAGTTGTCGCGTAGACAATTTATGCTGCGAGCGTTGATGCAGAGATGTCGACAAAAAGCTGGTCTGGCCGGCTAAAGATTCTTCTTGCGGACATCATTTTAGAGTTGCAATATTCCGTTTTATTACAAAAAAATATTGTATTACGTAATGAAAATGGAATACATATGATTTCAGGAGATTATTTTATCGACAATAAACGCGGTCTTTTGCTCGTTATATAGCGAGAAGAAGACCGTGTTTTATAAGAAGGAACGTTTATGAATGATGCAGCCACAGTAATTATGCACATTCGAATGTAGGAGTAAATGTTCCTTTTTTTCACAACTATATTATTATAATATTACTGCTTAAAATCACTATATTCTGCATTTGGCGCAAAAGATAAATGATTATCTGTCTCAAGGTGCAACACACGTCGCTGTATAATTCGTGAACTTCATGCCTTCAGCTGCATCTCGATATTCATTATCACTACTGAAGATCTATGTATGTAACATGAACTATAGATTTTTAGTACTGACAGTGAATGTCGGAATGCAGCTTTCATTGTGATAAAGAGTGAAATAAATTTATGCGCGATATACAAAATATCCACAGATGTGTTTATTCAACTATAGTATTATAATAAATCTTGAAAAAAATGTTTTCCTCCCAAACTTAAATGTCATCAAGTGTACTTATTTTCTCTCATCAATTAAGCTGAAACAAATATATTAAAACTTCTTAATTAAACTTGTGATAAATTCTCTAATAATTGAAATGTAAATTTTTTTTTTTTAAAGATACTATGACATAACAGTTAGTATTACCTATACATAAATTCCAACCCAGAGGAGTAGGAATAACACTCCAAAACCAGAGAATATTGCAGCAACCAAGGAAATTAAGAGTTCCTTGAAGATGTCTCGTGTGAATTTGGTGCTTGTGACTTCGTACACGAAGAACCAAGCTGTAAAAAACACTCCGATTCCTAGTAGCACCAGCGCCAGCAATGGAAAGACAGCTGGGTTTACAGGTGAGATATATCTTATCATTGACTCTATTTCCACCTAAATTAATCAAGTGTTTGTATTATTAGTAGAAATATTTTGTTTTTTTACAAACAATTGTGTGTCTCATAGTACATTCTGCACAAATTTGATTTATCAATTTTAGAAAATTAATCTTTAATAATCTTAGAAGAGAAAAAGGCAATATATTTTCGATAAAACTATGATAGTTTTCACGTACCATTTTTCTAAAATAAGTTTGACGTGGCTAAAGGAGATATGATACTTGTGACAAGTTACAACCGGTTGACTGAGGTTAACTTAAAATCTCTCTATCTCTTTCTCTCTGGCTTCAAATTCACTTGTTTAAAGCCCATTCCCAACGTTATCGAACATTAGTCTCGATTTACAATAGGTGTAGTAAGCTTTAAGCCGTAAAAAATTAACCAATCACGATTGATTATTTTTCTATAATTCGACTATGATTGGTCAATTTTTTAAAGAACTTTAGAACTTATTACACCTATTGTAGATCGGAACTTACCCATGGATATAGCATATATGAACCCCGCATACAGCCAGAAAAGTGAAGCCAATATGTATAGCTCCTCTGTGTTCTCTGTCTCTTTCTGCACAAAGTGTGCAATAAAATTTAAGTAAGACTTTTACTTGCTAGTCTAGTCGGGGTGCTGTTGGGTACTCTATAATATTATGGAAACAAGAAATGGATGCACGCGCAACAAAAAAGTGACAAAATAAGAAGAAAAGTATAGCCCCTCTATTCTAGATCTCTTTCTAGATGTTGGCTTCACTCTATTAGCCAACAGAACACAGGACATTCGGAGTCCATGTATGGCTGCGTTCAGATTCCCTACCTGGGTGTATTTTAATACTAGAAGTGCTATAGTATATATAACATATACTATAGTGTTTCTAGTAATAGAATGCACCCGGATAACGAATTTGAACGCACCCTATACTGTCCCTTTGTCCACACCTTGACCAATATTGACCAACCACAGTTGATTATTTTTAAAATAATCGACTGTGGTTGGTCAATTTTTTACGCCTTAAAATTAAAGCAAGGTTGTGGATAAAAAGTATGACTTTTGCCTTAACGCCACTAATTGATATTTGGAAGATAAAGTTTTATAGCTTTTGAAAATAATCCAAAGTATATTTAAAAAAAAGTTACAAATCATGTCCAGATTCGACACAGATTCAAACACATCCTTAATCGTGGCGGTTAGACTGGAACTACAATCGATTATCGGAAATTTATACTTTTTTATCTATTAAGCGTTCAGAAATGTCACTCACTTTCCCTCTCTTTTTATCTCACTCTTGTATCTCGCTCACTCCAACATAACGGATACAATTTGACGTTTCCGAACGCAGCCTCAATCGATTATTCGAATGTCAAAAGTGCAGCACAGTCCTCCCAGATGGGCTATGTTCAGAAATCCTACTCGATAGGTAGAGTTACTTTAATAAATCAATCATGATAAATAAATCTTAGTCCTTTTGCCCTGATTGGCTAATTAAATGTTACTCTACTCACCGAGTAGGGTTTCTGAACGCAGCCATGGGCGTTCGAAAACGTCACTTGGATACTTTTCCTTTCTTTCTCGAGTTAGGCGACAGTTTCCCGAAAAGTGGAGGGGATAATGTTGGTACCAAGGAAAATCTCTACACGATATAATTTAAAGATCTTTTCTTTGTAACTGCACTGCTGAATTGGTAAATTGAAGTGAGGCAAGTATACGTTTTCTCACTCTAACCTTTTGCATTAGTTCAGCAGTGTGCAGTTACAAAGAACAGTATTTTATAGTAATCATACTATAAAATAACTGCGCAATGAAAATTACGTATACGCAAAAATTTCAAGAATAGGGGCCCAGATCTTTAAATTATATCATGTAGAGATTTTCCTTGGTACCAATATTATCCCCTCCATTTTTCGGGAAACTGTCGCCCTTTCTCGTATCTCTCTCATTCTAACGCAGCGGGTGCACCCGGATGACGTTTCCGAACACAACTCGGAAAGAAAGGCCTGGAGGAGGGACGAGTTTCCGCGCTTGCGCGTCCATTCGCGCCTGAGAGCGTCTGTGGGGCCGCGCTCATTTCGTGGCAACTTCACGTTTCGAGATAATTCGTGTGGTTTCAGGGCGTAGTGTTCAGATCGCGGGGAATCGTTAGCTCGCTGCTTTCCAGCAATTTCAACGTGTCGAGTTGTGAACGAGATCGCGAGAGAGGAAGTGGTGGTTCGCACAAAGGTGATTGCTCCGGAGGTGGTTCGCGGTCACAGTGGTGACGACACAGTGGAGATAACGACGGTGTGTCGCGATACGGCCGCGACACAGCGAAAAGAGCCGAAAAGGTGTAGCGATTGGAGAGTCGTCCAGCGCAGATACGAACAAAGATTTGAATAAATATAAACGGACGATACGACATTCCACTATAAATATAAACTCACTTGGAAAAGTAGTCGTGCTAACTACTCAGATCCGATCTAGATGTATACCGTAGCACTCGACTCTGCGCCACTAGCGGCGATTTTTTAACTAACTGGTTTGTTCGTATGTGTGGTGGACGACTGTCCAATCTCTACACAGGAATTCGTGTATACGCGTACATGCGATGTTAGCCGCCGCACAATCGAGCAAGCTCACGCGACGTGTTACATTATTTTCCCGGCGCGTCTACGCGCCACTCCGATGTGAGTGCGATCTTCGCTCCGTGTTTCGGTAAATCGTCACGGTAATCGAATAAACCATCGTCGCCGCCGCCGCAGTAGCAGCAGCAGGCACGTCCACGCATCATCATGTTCTGGACGAATAATTACGTGTCATCGCCGCATATCGAGGCATTGCTCAGCAAGGAGGCAAGTGACTTTCCCGAGCGTTTCCTCGAACGATTGTACACTCCCCCGCCGCGCTCTCTCAGCTTATCGTCGTGGCGGAGCGTCTCATAGTTAATTTGTTAACTCGTGCTTGCAGGATGTTACTCTGCACGAGTTGATGGACGAGGAGGATATCCTGCAGGAATGCAAGAGTCAGAACAAAAAGCTGGTCGAGTAGTAAGTAATGGTGCTGCTGTTTATTTGAGTCTCTTTGTGTTGAGATATTTGGATATACAGGCACTTTTTTCACTAATAATTAATGTAATAATAATTATGCATACTCATGCATATATATAAAATAACACAACATGCAATTGGTAGTCTCACGAGGCCAGCTGTCATGGAAGAGTTAGTGACATTAACTACTAAAGAACCATCCATAGACATCGAAGAACGTTGGCGTTATAAATATCCTAATGTTGCCTGCGAGTTGCTCACATGCGATGTACCTACACTGAATGAGAAACTGGCAGGTATTTAGGGAGCAATTTTATTACACAGTTAACAATCAAATAGTTGTCCAATTCTGCAAATGATCCCGCAATTATATCATATCTTCAAAACTCTTTCAGGTGATGAGGCACTTTTGGCCAAATTATATTCTTTCATAGATACTGATCAGCCATTAAATCCACTACTTGCATCATTTTTCAGTAAAACTCTTGGAGTACTTGTTGCTCGTAAAAGTGACCAGGTAATTATGCATAAGCTTTACTTTCACATATACTAATATGTAATAATTAGCAATATTTATACCATGATGTATGCTTTATTAGCTGATTAATTATTCAATCATGATAACTTCCTTTAAAATCAATATCACTTAGTGATTAATAAAGCTTATTATTATATATTAAAGTATAATTATTAGT